GACCCAAATCGACCAAATAGCAAGGGGTTACATCACTTTTTTTTTCCAAAATCGGGGTCAGTTCGAAAATCAAAACTTTGTTAATGATTTTTTTTTAATATCTCAAGTAAATATCGTCTGATTTCAAAATGTTATATCTTTTTTAATTTGTACGGATCCCTACTATCAATTGGCAATCAAACAAATTAAAATTCAGTGGGTCAAAAAAAGTTGTGGAGAAAAAATCGATTCGTTTTTAACGTCAACCCTCTTTAATGATTTTTTGGAATATCTTCTCCAAATAATGTCAGATTTTGAAATTTTTTACCATTTTGGACTCGTAAGGATCAGTACTATCGATTGGCATTAAGAAAATGAAAATCCAAATTTTGACCCAAATCGACCAAAAAGCAAGGGGTTACATCACGTTTTTTTCCAAAATCGGGGTCAGTTCGAAAATCAAAACTTTTTTCATGATCTTTTTTGAATATCTCGAGCAAATACCGTCTGATGTCAAAATGTTATACCTTTTTTAATTCGTTCGGATCCCTACTATCAATTGGCAATCAAACAAATTAAAATTCAGTGGGTTAAAAAAAGTTGTGGACAAAAAATCAACTCGTTTTTAACGACAACCGTTTTTTATGATTTTTTGGAATATCTTCTCCAAATAATGTCAGATTTTGAAATTTTATACCATTTTGGACTCGTAAGGATCAGTACTATCGATTGGCATTAAGAAAATGAAAATCCAAATTTTGACCCAAATCGACCAAAAAGCAAGGGGTTACATCACGTTTTTTTCCAAAATCGGGGTCAGTTCGAAAATCAAAACTTTTTTCATGATCTTTTTTGAATATCTCGAGTAAATATCGTCTGATTTCAAAATTTTATACCTTTTTTAATTCGTACGGATACCTACTATCAATTGACAATCAAACAAATTAAAATTCAATGGGTTAAAAAAAGTTGTGGACCAAAAAACGATTCGTTTCTAAAGTCAACCCTTTTTTATGATTTTTTGCAACATTTTGTCCAAATAATGTCCGATTTTGAAAAAAGGTATACCATCACGTTTTTCGTCAAAATCGGGGTTGGTTCGATCTGATCTAATCTTTCAACAAGAATATCATATTTATTTGAATCACAAGAATTGAATAAGTAAATAAAATATATAAATCATAAAAACAAACAAAAACACATGCATTTCGTCATATTCTATTTGCAGCTCATAATCTAAGGAATTTTCCTGCATGTCTCGACTGCAAATCGAGCGAAGCGAATTAGTTGGAAAGTCTGACAGAGACATATTGCCTTAATTATAGAAATGGAGTCAATTATAGAGGACGCTGCGGAGCAAACCCGTTATGCCCGACTGAGACGTTTCACGTAAAACAAGTGCGCGTCGTGCTCACCTGTTGCCAAACTAAATTAACGCACGCATCTGTAACTAATTGGGAATAATCTGAATTTTTCGCTCAACGATATTTAAATATGCGTTATGGAGTGCCATAGCAGTTATCTTTCGTTAGGCCACAAATTATATATGTATACCACATGGCTGCATTTTAATCGATAAGCGAATGCATCACTGATTGACTGACAGAGAAAACAGATAATTTGCTTGCTCATCTTTATTTATTTCGAATATCTTAATGCACTGTACTGCACTCTGTTCATACATGAGAAGCTTAGGCATGTGTATGGAGTATCAAATATATATTTTATATAATGTATTTCGTTGTTGGACTCATTTAAAACTAACTAATAATTATAAATCACCGAGATTGCCGAGACCGCCAACCTCCGATCCAAAGCGTGCCTTATCCTGGCTCTCGGTCCAGGCTTTCGCAATCATTTGCTTTGTTTTTGAATCGCCGCTGTTGTACATTTTCTTCATGATGTTGACCAAGGCACCCTCGGGATTCTCGCTCTCTTTGGCCAGCTCGTTGTCCTGCTTCTGCTTTAGTCGCTTCTGTATGGACGTCAGCACGTCCCAGCTCTGGCCCTCCTCGACCTTTTTCAGATATATCGCCACCATGTCCGTTTTCAGCTTGCGGTAACTCTTCTCAATGTCAATGGCATAAAGCAGGTTGTTGACGGTCAGACCAAAGTCCTTGCCATTGAGATCACTCACGTGCAGCTGCAAGGAGTGATCCGTGTACTTAACGGTAACCGCCTCCTCGGCGCAGTTCTGTACGCCGGCCAGCGTTATGAATAGTTTGACAAATTTGGAGCTCTGATCCCAGCCGTAATCCGTCAGCTCATGCAGATATCTGTAATGCATGAGAATATTAAATTAAATTTCCAAAATCTGAACATACATATGTATGTATGTGCAGCGAGAACTTACCGCTTGGAATCTGCGCCAGCTTGCCGCTCAGCCGCCAGTCGCGCCTTTATCTCCAAATTGATTATTTCGCGCTCCGCCTCGGCTTTGGCCTGGGTTAGCGCGCCTTTAACACGCGCACTTTTCGCGTGCTCCAGCAATGCGACGCACTCGGCAACATCGGCCTTTAGCTGTATTGTGATAAGCACGTGTTCAAATTACATACATATATATAGGTTTGTGAATGCATGTCACTGACACTCACCTGTTCGAGGGACATTTTGCTAGAGTTAGTACAAAATTACAGTTTGTCAGAAATAAGTGCAAGTGATTCGTAGAAATTTCGAGCAATAGTGACGCCGGCTTATGGATGTGTCGTCTAAATATATCGATAGCTGATAACTTAAAGTTGGCGCTGGTATCGATATTGGCCAAAAATACTGGAAAAGAGCTGGCATCGCTTTACCAATTGAATGAGCGGAACCAGTTAGTTTTCCTTATTGTTGGCAATGCTGCTCGTAACGGTGCTATTCCAATTTTGCAATCCTGGACGACATTTAATGTGCGAAAATTGTGTCTTGAAAAATGAGTTTGCAGGATGAAAGCTTTCCCGCCGACGATCTGTTCGATAAGCTAAACGCGACAGCGGCCAGCCAAGGCACAAGTCTTAGCTATCAGCGACAATATGCACTAGATCTCGATGACCCCGATAACCTCGAACGGCATCCGTCGCCATTTTTGAACAGCGACTGCTCGGAGAAGACCTGCGCCAGTGATCCGGTTGGCCTGGAACACGATCATAACCAGCCCAAGCACGGTGAGTAAGAGATCGCACTCACCACAGCCACTTAATTTGACTTGGTTTGGATGGTTTGCCAGAAAATGCGGCGAGCAGTAAAGGCCACCACGCCGACAGGCACATACAGCTGGGAAGTGGACGCAGCAGCAAAGCGGTTTCCTATCAGGATATCCATTCGGCGTATACGAAACGTCGCTACAAGCATGTCACCAGCAAAGTGAGCAAATATATAGCGGACATTAACGACCAGGAGAAGCAGCGTCGCACTACGGCGGGCACATTTCAACGGCATCGTTCCATGCCAGAATCGCTGACACCACGTGGCGGTGCCGAGGATCAGCAGAAGCTGGATGAGTCGCTGACAAACAGCAGCGGCACGGACCAGCATATGCGCGACGAAAGCTACGAGCGGCTCATCAACGAAAAGGAAAGCCTGCAGTGGCAAAACAAAATGCTGGAGAAGCAGCTCTACGAACGAATCGACGCCAACATACTCTTAAGAAACAACTTTGAGCTTATACGCACCGAGCTAACCGACTGCAAGGACAAGCTGAAGCGTCAAACTGCCTTGGTCGTTAATGGTGCTGGACATGCATTTGGTGCTGGTGGCCATTCGGTTCGCTTCCAGAACTATTGCCACGCCTTGCATAATGTGCGCGTGACAAAGGCCACACAAACTGATCTGCCAGTGATTACGGGGCACATGTCCAATCTGTCCGATCTATCCGATATGCCCGCTATAGCGGCCAATGCAACGCCGCATCCCAATGCGAATCTACATGATCTAACGTACGATAGCAGCGCGGGCTCCATTGAAATACCGCTGCTTAGCGTGCCGCCCGCGATACGCCAGCCAAAGCTGACCAAATCTTTGAAGAAGAGCGACCATATAAAGCCGCTCTCCCTGAACTTTAGCAACGATAGCGCCGATGTGGATACCCATGGACATGCAGGTAGTTACAGCTTTTTAATGGCCATACATCAGGCGGAGATAATTAATGTAGTTGACTTTTCAATTACAGCTGGCGAGGACGTTAATGGCAACTTGCAGGCGACTAGCTCCAACCGCGCGACTACTAACAACTCGGGCAGCAGTCATCCCAGCAGCAACGATTCGGCCATTGACATTGAGGGTCACGAGCTGCGTTCACCGCAACCGAAGTTCGGACATCAGGCCATCAATTTTGCGCCCATGCTAAATTGGAGCCAGCGCGAGGGCATCATTTGCTTTGAGAAAACGAGCAATCGAGTGATGGAGCTGGTGCCTTTGAATACACACGAGCCAGACAATGGCAATACCAATACCAATAACAGCAGCTCAAGCATCAGCCAGTTTAGTATGCAGCAGTACAGAACCTATGCACATATTGGCCAAAGAAAGAGATCCCTTGCTGCCCGCATGCTGCGTCTGTTTGGGCCCTGTGCACGTTGTGATGATCCCAATCAGATGGATGCCAGCAATGCCACATATACAGTGGGCATTCCGCTGTTGCCCAACGATTCCACGCGTTCGCATAATTTACGTTGATTTGCATTTGAATTTTTTTTTTTCTTTTTTTGTTCTCATTATTTATATTGTATTTATTTAGTGTTTACACGCTGGCGTTTTCAATGGTTCGCGAACGAACGTTTCTATTTTTAACCATATCCAATAATTGCATTATTGTATTTTTATGTTTTAGTCCATATTTGTAAGTATGTATGCCATGTATTCAACTATTTGCGATGTCTCTCATGTCGATTTGTTTTTTATAGTCGTAGTTTAGTCTCAACTTATTATAAAGTGTATCTCGATTCTAATTGTATTGCATATTCAAATTGTCGCGCACACTTAAACGATTAATTATCGATAGGTAATGGTGCGGTCAAGCGATATGCCAGCGTTAACAACACTGAAATCAGCTGCTCGCCGTTTATCGCTGTTGAATTGTCAAATAATTGTAATGGCCTGTCAGGCGTAGAGTAAGCAACTTGCTCTATGGTCGCATTTAATTTAATAAAAACGGAAAGTTCGAGAGGCAAGTGAACAAGTCCCGCTGATATTCGCCAAAAATCGTGCGTCTTTCGCTCTACACAGGCGAGTGACAGCGGGAGCGGCAGATGCAGCAGCAGCAATACCAGAGACGAAGACGGAGACGGAGCCAAGCGAACAGAATCGGAAGCGAGTAAAAAAAAAAGTAAGCGGCTCGAATTTTGGCATTGCTGTTTGAAGCAAAACGTAGCGGCCTGTGTGCCAGTAATATTACAGCGCTCAACAGTTTCGTTTGGATGAAATAATAACAAAAAAAAAATATATACAAAATTTTATCAGCTAAATTCAACCGATCAAATATATTCGCAAGTTTCGGCCAAATTTTCCATGTATTTATAGAATCAAAATAGCCATTCCACCCAGAAGCAAGAGAGCGGTAATACAAAAAACGAAATTTAAAAAGAAACGGCTAGCGCAATAAAAAAAAAAAAACAAGAATTAAAAAAAAGTACCGTGCGTGATTTTTAAAGTGTGGCCAAATTACTCGAACTTCATACTCTGCCCATAAGCCAGCTCAGGCAGATGCTGCTCCTGATTAAACCAACAACAACCACAACGCCTGAACAATGGAAAAGCGCATTAAATCTGGCAACGGCCGCTGCGACAATAACACGGTCGTGGCGGCTGCACCAGCTACCAAAATCAATGTGAGCAACAACAAACCGCAGCAGCTGCCCACGAATACAACAACAACAACAACAATAGCCGCTGATGGCAACTCTAGTTCCAAGTTGACAGCCGCGTTTCGGAATATCAGAGTCAATGTGCAGCCCAGCAGAGGCATGCACTCCTGGCCGCGTCAGGACGAGCAGACGGTTCAGGCAACAACTGCAGCGATTTCAGCTGCACGCGCCCGCGTAGAGGCAGCAACAGCAGCAGCGGCAGCAAACGCAACAACAGCAGCAACAACAACGATAATAATAAACAACAAACAGAACAACAATGTTATGAAGCTGCAGAAGCATCCATCCTCAGTGTTGGCAATCGCCGAACAATATGCAACGATTGCGGCCAGTTACAGGACGAAGCCACGCAACAAAAGTGACGGTACGGCAACCATCTTGATTTTTGATTTGTGTGCGTCTCTTTGTATTTCCATGGCAGCACTGAATATAGTATGCGTAGCTGTATGTGTGTGTGTCATTTCAAATCTATTTTTATGCACAACTCGTGCTTGCTTAGTCTGTAAGCGAGTGAAAGAGAGAGTGTGTGAGAGAGAGAGAGAGAGTGCTGCCAGATTTGATTAAATTGCCTTTTTTGTAATGCACATTAATAATTGACAATTGCCCAACTTGCAGAGGCCATCAACGATCTGCTGCTGCGCATACCGGACATTGCACAAATATTCGATGTACAGAGCCGCATCGGTAACGGTACATTCAGCACTGTGCTGCTGGCGACGCTCAAGCGGGAGGCACAGCTGCCGGACAGCATGCGTCGCAAGTTTGCGATCAAACATCATATACCCACCAGCCATCCCGATCGCATTATGAAGGAGCTGCAGTGCATGACAGATATGGGGTATGTCGAATAACAGAATTCGTAAGCTAATTCGAATGCCAAGCAAAACGTTAATAATTCCTCAATGTGTGTCGGCCTGTGCCGCATTTCCAATGAGAGCGTCACGAACGACGTCAGCCGCTCGCAGCAGACGTATCTTGTCATACGTATCTTACATACGTCATTGCAATTTATTTAAAGTTGCCTTTGTCATCGATTGCTCCGACGTTTATTGCACTTTCACACACCATTCACGTGCCACCTACTTCTTCTTCTTCTTAGTTACACCATCGCGGCTCTCACTCGCTCTCATGTGCGAAATGCTGCTCATGTAATATTTGTTTACAAATCATGCAAATACATTTCATAGGCGCACACTTACATGCATAGATTAGTCTGCGCTCATCTGCAGACGTAAATACACTTATATGTGTGAATGTATGTACGTACACACACACACACAACACACACACATACACACACTCATAAAGATTGTTTCTTAAGAGCTTTGCCATTTGCGCAAAGTGGGCAATTTGGTCTTGACGCATTTTGCATATCCTTCCACCGCCTTCCAATAAGTATCGATTACACAATTTTGCGTTTGCGTATTATCGATAATCTCGTGCTGCTTAGCGAGATTAGATAAGCAATACATACATAATATGTTATTTATACTTATACATGTGTGTGTGTGTGTGCATATCACACTGTGCGATGACGTAGAAAAGCAAAAAAAAAACCGTTCAATTCCGCTTTGAACTACCTTGGGCAAGGTTATCGCCAAAATGTGCCTAAATGGCAGCCAGCTTAAGTTCCGTTAGGGTTCTTGCATTATTTATGGCTTGCGAGAGAGCGAGAGAGCGATGAGCGATGACTGCGTGGGCCGCCTGGGTGGGGGGCTAGCCAGACAACCGGCCGGCCGGTCGGTCGGTCGTTCAGACACCGACTGGACTGATGCCCCCCCTCTCTCTCTCTCTCTCTCACTCTCTCTCTCTCTTTCTCGCGTGTATCTGCGCCTGCACATGTATATCTATCCCTATTCGTTCAATTTGCGCAAATTCCGTTGCCCAATTGCGTCACAGCGCTGATAATTGTGATTGGAAGACGCGGGATTGGGTCGTGCGCAATGCCCGGCGAATTATCATCGCTGTGACGTCGGTAGACCGGGCAACCCGACCGACCAACCGACCGGCCATCAACGTGGGCGACCTCTGCACAGCTTGAAATATGGAAGATGGCCGTCTCCAAACCGGGCGACCCAATGAGCTCATCTCGAGTTCCTCTTTTCGCTGTTGTGTATATTTATCATTAGTAAATGCGCGCAGCACCGATTTATAAAGCTGTTAATATTATTAATAATGAGATTCTCACATTAGCAACAAAATTAAACGAAGATGCGTGTTCATTCTCTTAACCCTTATTGTGCTCTATTGGCCATATTTTGCACGCTTTTTCCATGCATGGCTTGAATTTAGTAGTGCGAAGATCTACAGCCTTGCAGACAGACTATTTTTTTTAGCCTTAACATAGTTTTTTTTGTTTATGTAGTGAAAAAGTCTAGGTCCAAAAAGTCTAGGGGTTCAATTCGTAAACCTGCTTTTTTTTTGTATAACTCTTCTTCCTCTTCTTATCACTTCTCTGCTCTTTCATTTTGCAGGGGCACCGACAACGTTGTGGGCATCCATTGCTGTTTGCGCTGCGAGGCGTCGGCGGCATTCGTGATGCCCTATATGCCGCACGATCGTTTCCATGATTTCTATACCAAGATGGAGGTGCCGGAGATCCGTTTGTATATGCGTAACCTGCTGCTGGCCCTGCGGCATGTCCACAAGTTCAACATAATTCATCGCGATGTGAAGCCCAGCAACTTTCTGTACAATCGACGGCAGGGCCAGTTTCTGCTCGTGGACTTTGGCCTGGCGCAGCATGTGAATCTAAGCGGCGGCCCAACCAGCGTAACTGCCTCCCAGCAACAGCAACAGCAGCAGCAGCAGCTGGCGACCAGCAACAGCAAGCGACCACGCGACGCCTCTGGGCAGCAGCAGCAGCAGCTGGCGGCATCAGCAGCAGCAGCAACTGCATCGGAGGCGGCACTTGGCGGCGCGGTCAAGCGGATGCGGCTCAACGATGATAGCAATGCCAGCAACTGGAACAAGATGCCGCTCAAGCCGGTCAACGAGATTGCGCAGAGCGCCAAGTGCGATATCAAACAGAGTCTCACCGAGATCGCGCCCGACACACAGCAACAGCCGGCGCCGCCGCCGGGATCGGGACAGGCACAGCCACAGTCCGTGCAGCCGGCGGAGTCGAGCGTGGCGACCAGCAGCAGCAAGTACAACACGAATCGCATCGCTGGCGGCGGTGGCGGTGGTGGTGGCAATGCGAAGTGCTATTGCTTTGCGAATCCGTCCGTTTGCATCAATTGCCTTATGAAGAAGGAGGTGCATGCTTCGCGAGCGGGCACGCCCGGCTATAGGCCGCCCGAGGTGCTGCTCAAGTATGCGGATCAGACAACCGCCGTGGATATATGGGCAGCGGGCGTCATCTTCTTGTCGATACTGTCCTCCGTCTATCCGTTCTTTAAGGCGCCCAACGACTTTGTCGCACTGGCCGAGATCGTAACCATATTTGGTGATCGCGCCATACGCAAAACGGCCCTGGCCCTGGAGCGCATGGTGACGCTTAGCCAGCGCTCGAAGCCGCTCAATTTGCGCAAGCTGTGCCTGCGCTTCCGGCATCGTCTCATCTTTAGTGACCAGCAGATGGTGCGCAAGCACGAATCACCCGACGGCCGGATCGATGTGTGCAAGAACTGTGATCAATATTTCTTTAATTGCCTCTGCGAGGAGAGCCCCTATGTGACCGAGCCGCTCGATCCGTACGAATGTTTTCCGGCCAGCGCCTACGATCTGCTCAGCCGCCTGCTCGAGATCAATCCGCATAAGCGCATCACCGCCGAACAGGCGCTCAATCATCCGTTCTTCACCGAGCAGGCGCCAGCTCCGGCTGTGCCCGCTGCCGTTGCCGCCAAACTGCGCACCGAGGCGCCCAAGCAAATGACGCGCAGGCGCGCCACCAAAGCGGCAGCGGCAGCGGGAGCGGGAGCGGGAGCTGCAACTGAACCTGGAGCGGGAGTGGGAGCCAGAGCGGCAGCTGCTTCACCAGCCGCTGGGCAGGCGCAACAAACTCTAAACAAACTGTGAAAACTAGTCGAAAACCCTTTGATAACCTCTAGAGCTTAGGATATATATACATATATATATACATACATTTTTTTTTTGCCAGTGTCGAGCATAGTATATATGTATTTACAAACACACACACACACAAAAACACACAATCGTGCCTGTACATACATACGCACTTCCTTAATACACACAACAGCACACACACACACACACACACACACACACACTGCCCAGTTATCATCCTAGTTCCATGCATATCTTTACGGAGAATTACGCGAGAGGATCACAAAGTAAAGGGACATATAAAACTCAAAAATTGCCGCTCCCGGACGCAAATACTTAAAAAAATAAAACCAAAAAAAAAAAAAAGAAATATAGAAAACCGACACAAAAAAAAAAGTAACAAACACACAAAGATCATATACCTCAGCATTGTTTTGAGCGCTCGTTCTTATACTCAAAGTCTAAATCAAATCCGTTTGGTTTTCGGATAACCCATTTTATGTACACCAAAAAAAAAAAAATACATACATACATTAAATTTATACACATATTTATACAACAACAAAAAAATACATTTAAATATAAAAATAATGTTTTTTTTTTTTTTTTTTTGTAATTATACCAAATAAACATTGAGAATAAATGCAGATAACTTGACAACCAAATAGTATAAAACTAAATAGATCTAGTACTTAAAAAAAAAACACGGCAGCAAGTTCTGTTGTTTGTTATACAAAATAAAAATGTATATGTTATATAGTTCGAATAAGTTTAAGTCTATGTACAGATTTATATGTGTATATATGTATATCTATATCTATATATATATACCTATATACAATATGCATAAGCGACTCATGTGTGCGTCGAGTTAACTGATTCGTATCTATATACAAAATAATATATTTATACCATTCAATTTGAATGAACAATTGTTTGTGTGGTTTTATGCTTGGGCAAGGAAAGTATTTACGTGAGGATAGTGCACAGGTAAAGGCTTATCAGGTGAAATTAAATATGGTTGGGTCAAAGGGAATATGAACCAACTAAACTAATCATATAGTAGTAGTCCGGATGCCTATAAAACTGCTCTGACTTAATTTGAGATATATAATAAAAGATCGTAATTGGAAAGTCGTATCGTTGTCAAGGCTCCAGATGCACTCGACGAAGAATTATTAATGCGACTATCAAGAGTTAATATATATTGTCAGATCAGATCATAAATATAGCCCGGCACTATTTGCACATATAAAGGCAATACAGGATATTTGATTAATGTAACATTCGTATATATATTTTACATTCGTGTGCAATGTACGATTTACATAGGTGTTCACGACTGCGCAAGCTATTACAATGAACTTTTTAGATTTGGAAAGGTTTACATATATAGAAAAAAAAAAAATATATATATATATATATATATTGGCTTAACGAGCTAAAGAAAATCTGCATCGCATTTCAATTCAGGTCGCCATTTTCTTAGGTTTCTTTCGTGTCTGCTTTGCGGATGTTGTGGGCGCATCCTCGTCCATGGGCTTGTCCTCTTCGGGCTTCTCCTCAACTTTGATGCGCTTGCCAGCCTTGACCTCATCTTTGCTTGGCTGCGTCTCGATGACGCGCTTCTTGGGCATCTGGAAGCTGCCACGGCCAGCCGCACGCTCCGACTCCTCGATGCTGTATGGCTCCATTTCGAGCGCCTTTAGACGCCGTTTGTGCACCTTGGTGCGAAAGTGCGCCTGCATCGATCTGTCGTCGATGAAGTACTTGGCACAGTGCACGCAGTAGAACTGCGCGAAGCCCGGCTTATCCAGGTCCACGTTCTGGTTTATTAGCTCGCCGCTGCGTGTGCGCAGATCGTCATCGATTTGGTCGAGATCCCTGCGACGATTGCGTACACGCCAGCGACGCTGCAGGTGCGTGTCGCCATAGTGCATCTTTTTGCGCTTTTGTACCATACCCATCTTGAGGCTTTCTTTTTGAAATGAAATTGACAACAAGAAGAAAAAAAAACAAGCTGTCTCGGCTGCACGTGGTATTTGTTTTGACCACTTTTCTGGGGCGTGCAGCAACTGATGTCTGAGCGGCACTTCCAATATGCTTAGGCATAAGAGTTACAGTTAGAACAAGAATTAAGCAGCAATATTCAATTATTTACACACCTTGTAGCACCTTTATAAACAACGTTTCCTTTCGTTTCGTTATTTACTGCGCATAAATAGTTATTTAACTAAATCTGTTGGGTGCACACTGTAGCGGCTAATGGGTGAGCGGTGGTGTGTACACACTGTATACAAAACATAAAACATCTGTGTAAATACAACACAGCTGTTTTAAATATTTAATGCTTTTGCTTTTGCCATTGCTATGATATAATATTGTGCTATATTTGTAAATAAATTTCAAAATTTTGGGATTTCGGTCATAACGCGATTTTCGTTAAACACTGTATTTGCGAAACGCGCATTTCCGCTATCGATAAGTAGAAATTCGTACAAAAATCGATAACAAAACAATCGGCTTGTCGAAAAGCTCAGCAATCGTTGTCAACGATGGTGCCATGAAGGAGGTGGTATTTTAATCGTGCGAACAAGTTGTCTGCGGGCGGACGTGCGCATTTTGGTTGTATTTTTTTTAATATCAGTACGGAAAAAACAAGTAAATAAAGCATTTTTTTTTTTTTTTTTTTCAAATAAACAATAAGCCGATTATAGTCCGATAATGCAACAAAGTTGTGCATAAGCCAGCGAAGCACACACAGTTAAATGAAAGTGTATTTGATATGTGATTAAATAACGTTGACAGTGCGGTTTTTCTATAAATTGTATTTTTTCCTTTATCTTATTATGTTGAGTGTTAAGCGAACAGAGTGCAGTAAACATTGGCATTATTGTTATGCTCATGATTAGACCACCTGCAAACAATTGCCGTTGTCGCCGCCGTCGTCGTTGTTGTTGTCGTGAACGTTGCTTTTGATTGTTCAATTATGCCGTTATGAACAGCTGTTCTGATTGTGCATCTCTCTGAGGTTGCAAGCACGGCATGCGAAAACGCAACTACAATAAATATGACTTGCCGGGTCCCTGTGTGCGTGTGTGTGTGTGTGTGTGTGTGTAGGCATATTTAAACAGTGATTACACTCCCAAAAAATAAAAAAATTAAAAAGAAAAACCTGTATCGCTTATTTATTACCGATTTCTGTTTCAGCTTTGCACATTCCCTCGAGTTATTTTTTATATACCGGCTTATTCTTGTTCGTATTTGTATTCGCAATTGCTGGCGCAGCAGACAACCATAGTGCAGTAAGTAGAATTACTTATATATATCCATATGTATACACAATAACACAATGTAATTGTTGCAGTAGTTGCTTTTAATACCACACTTATCAATAAATAAAAGAACGTGCGAGGCCCGTTTATCAGTGGGCGCTGTTGCCTCGCTCGTTAATCAGTCGATTCGCTATTTAACAGTTATTCGCATCCACACGGACAGACACGCATAACGTGCACACTTACAGTCGTCACGTGCGTCTGTATGTGTGTTGATATTTAAATCTCTTTTGCTTTGTGATCAATTGTCTCGCAACTCGAATGTAGCGCGCACTGTGACGTAACAGGCACACACACACACACACACACACACACACACACACACAATCACACAAAAGCTTGCCTCTGTAGCACATCTCCCTCCCCCCGCCGCGCACCGTAGCCAAGCCTTTTTGTCAATGCAAATGAACGCACTCCCAAATATGCACCAATCACAGTCTCCCACTGGTCAGCTGTCATAGAGTTGCTCTCTTGATTTACTCTCTTCTGCTCTCGCTCTCGCTGGCTCAGTGTTGCCCAAACAAGTTTCCACATGAAAAACGATTACAATTGCAAGTGTTTGCATAGCGATGCATAATGGATCGAATGTCTTCTGCGTTAAGTTTAAATGCGATTTCTACGCGAAGCTGAAACTTACAGCAGCAGGAGATTTATTAAAGTATGATAGATTCAATAAATAGCCATGAATGCAAATCTTGAATTATGCATGTATGCATGCAAATGTCTATCGATCTAGTTTCCTTTTATGATAACAAATAGCATGTCATATTAATGAAAGTTGTGAGCATAATCAAGGGATATACATTTATATTTCCACTGTCCATAAATATCAGTGCGACAAGCACTCAGAGTTGCTAATGGGAGCTGCTAATGTACCCAGCTGAAAACGAAAGTCTTTGCTCGAGAAAGAGACACACTGAAATAAGGGAGAGAAAAAACACGGTTATATTTTGTATTTTTTCTTCTTCTTCTTCTTTGTATTGCAAAAGCCCGTTACCATTTACCGTTTAGCGTTTAGCTGATCTTTGATTCGTCACGGGGATTGTTGCGCAATTCGAATGGCAAATTTACCAGTTAGTTGCTTAAAGTAACAATTCGAAACGAAAATAAGTTATAAGTTATGTTATGTCTGTAGTTTGAGTCGAGTTTTGTAATTTTAGCTAATGCCGTTGATTTATATCTATATGTGTTTTGGATTACAATACAGTCCCTTTAAATAATAAATGTCTGTTTTGTTTGGCTGGGAAAGATGCCCGAAGGACTATGCATAACGGCAAACACATGTGGAGTAACATTGAGGGCGTGGCAAATGCCAAAGCCAGTATTAAGCCAAAAATCCTGAATCCCTTCCCATAAAGAGAGTGTGCTGGGCGAGGAGGAGAGGAGCATCAAATCAAGACTCTTGTATCACACGATCCAAAATAGAAAAAGGAAAGAAAAATCATTTACAACTTTTTATCTATTGGTATGTTAATAATGAATCTAGCATCGACTTCTAGACAAATCCTTCAGTTATTATAGATCGATTTATCGTAAAAAGAAAAAGAAGAACAAGAGGTTCTAGTCGGGAGCTCCCGACTAGGGGATACCCTGAACCCTCTTCTTCCAACATCAAATGCATGTATATATTCTATTTTAGTAGCAATATGTCAAGTTTGGGGACTCTAGCTCTTATTATTTACCAAAATTGCCCAAAAAAACAGAATATCGATATCGATTTTTATCGATTGCTTGTAACGGAGTAAGTTATCGATTATCGGAAACAAACTCGATCTGCGCAGGCACAAGGAGCACTTACATCTAAAATTTCTATAGCTATAATCTATAGCTCTTATCTGTTCTGAGATCCTTGCGTTCATACATACATAGCTAAATATATATGCATATATATTTTACAAAATAGTTTATAGCGAATGAGCTTTTGTAATTGATAGATTCTATATACGATATATAGCTAGAATTGTCTGCTAGATTGTTGCTTTTTTTGCAGTTCCATCTATCTGTATCTATGTATTTGGACGTAAGATTCATTTTGAATATTATAAATAAAAAATGCATTCAAGTAGCTTCATCGAAAGGTTCAACTCAGAGTTTTAAGTAGAGACTACTTGAAGGCGAGCCCAAAACAATTGCGGCCAAGCAACCTGTTGGGCCAGTCAAAGAGACTCGGCCAGCTTCAAGGTGAACGTCTATTTGGCACTCAAATCGGTTCGGAAACAGATATATACATATATATATAGAGAGAGAGGGGGGGATAGAGAGGCAGAGAATTGATCATATAGCTGCATCGTTGGAGAATGGGGCTGGTATTCATTGAGGGCTGAGCTTATCTTTGGCATTCTTTCACATTGTTTTCTTTCTAATTTTTATTTATTGCGGTTGGGTTTTTTTTTTATATGTGCCGAGCTACGCTTAAAGCTCTTGCGATTCGGAACTCGTTTTATTTCACTTAGTTTTTTATTATTTCTGATCCATAGCCCGGATACGTTGAGTCTCGTGACTCAGGTGAGGCAGGTTTAGTTTGGTTTAGTTTTTCCAACATTTGCCAATTGCCAAAGCGAGCCGAGATATTTCATCTATTGTTGAAACCGGCTTTTCGACTGAAAAAAAACGGGCTGCGCCGCGGAGAGAGAGAGAGGGGGGGGGGGGGAGAGGGGTACCTGGCGAAAAACGTGAGCCACAGGCATTTCCCCAAAGCGAACATTACGAAAGGTATTCCACAAAACAGTCAAGCGAATGTAGATTAAATACAGAGAACATATAAAAAACTTATCTGCGATCGTAAAAAACAAGTATAACCAGAGAAAGAGAGAGAGAGAGCGAGAGGGAGAGCGAGCGAGAGAGAGATAATAGCTCGCAGCGATTCTAGATGTGTGACGTTTAAATATATTCATCTATATATAAATATATAGTATATAGTATTTGATATAAAGCGCGTATGGTAATTCCCCATAAATCGCGTTGCGAACGAATTACCATAAATGTGCGACCTTTGGAATGCCTATGCTTAAGTACAGTGAAGGCTCGCCTGAGCGAACGCAACCATAAAGAGAGAGAGAGAGAAAAGAGTGCTGTGCGGCCTGGCTGCCTTGTGCACATACATTAACGCATGCTGTGCTACTTTTTACCAACGCCCCGGGCTCTATGTAACGCTTCGGTGCTTATGATCCGATCTATTTGCGATTTTTAGGACTCGTCTTTCGCTTTTGTAGGAACTGAGAGCATGTATCCAAAAATTGTATACATATCAAATAGCTCTTTCTATTTCTAGTTTCTAAAGTTAGCATAGATTTATCAATGTTAAAGAACGGATAAGAGATTTTGATAAGCCTTGCTGTTCGTTAAGCTGGCCATTCACTGTATGTACTCCCTTGTCTGCATATGGCACCCTCTTTTCACATTGTGCCTGATATTGTCGTGCACATTGCGCTAATTGCGCTTGTAGCTTGGCGCTATCAAAAAACAAACCACAGACAAACCGAACACCCTAATGCACCTTATCATATATTTGTATTTTGCTGCCTTTCTGATATGCGATATCTGAGTGTGTGTGTATCTGTGTGTGTGTGTGTGTATGCGGTCACAAATGGCACAACAAGTGTCGTGCCTCAATCTGAAATTCGGCTCATTGCAGTTGGGCCCCCCGGCCTTGAAATAAAGCAGGCGGCAGGAGGCGTCTGCCACGCCTCGAAAGCGGCATTTGCGGTAAGCCGAAGCCAAATTGTTGTTGATAAAGTCGGATATGAATATATACACTATAAATAGCTAGGCGGGACAGTTGAACACGCTGTATTCCAAAAAAGACCGAAAGGGAAAGTAAATTGTGTTTACCCAAATAAATATTGTTGCTGTTATCGATAACATATCGAGCTTGGGTACGTGATGAATCGTTTGCTGCGCAGCAAATATCTAGAGATATTATTTGAAAAGCATTCGGTAAAAGTTCACATGTGAAAAGAAGTTTTTGATATGCAATTGCGGACAAATTGCTTAATTAATATATTGCTATGTGTTATCGATAAACAGCAGAACATGGCCATGTGGTTTATCGTATGTTGCAACATGAATATCGACAGATTATTTATATACCATTAAGATATGGTACAAATGTTGTTAAACTGCAATTGAGTTAAACAAAGAAAGAAACTGTTGCTGTTATCGATAACTAGCAAGAGACCATTGCTGTTATCGATAACTATAAATCGATAACAGTCAGAGTTAGTGTGCGTGATTTATCGCTATCAAGTTAACTTTTCTAGGGTATTTCGCGGCCAATAACTATTGAGCGCTTGTACAAGCGATTATCGATTAAATATAAGTTTCAATTGAAGCTGGATGCTTTCTCCACGCTCCACGCTCCACGCTGGATGCTTTATACGCACGCCGAGTTATGCTGAATATATTTCAATTAATTCGTATGAACGCCGCACAGGAATGCATGACCTTTGTGTGCGTGGAGCAATGGGCAACTGGGCGGGGCGTGGCGAGGCGTAGTAGTGGGTCATTTGGGTACTTTCTAAGCTCAATCGGATTGAGCTGCTGCTGCTGTTGCTGGCGGGTGAAAGGTGCCGCGCCATTTGATTGCGGGAAGTGAATGAATTACTTTCTAGTTGGACAGCGGGAGACCGAAACATTGCCGGATTTGTAATTGTTATACCCCGTTAACAATTGCCACCAACGAGTCCATGAGGCATATCAAAGTTCTTGAGTCGAATCTGCAGCCCATCGTCAAATGCTGTAGATCTCTTAACGTTCCCCGATAAATCGATAAATATCGATTTTGCAAACTTGGCATAACTGGAAGTCGATCTGAGCTGGAGCTATCCAACTTGTTAGTTAGCTTCTTGTAGAGCATACCTAGAAGATCTGGAATATATTGCAGCTGTATGCAAAATTGATTAGAGTTACTTCAAGGGTATCTGGCAGTCGAGCACTTGCTATAAGTTTTGACTACATCTCATGTTTTTGACTTTCAACTTTCACCGCAGATATTAACACGGCCCTAGATATATATCAGCTGGCGAAATGGACGCACACGCACATCACAGCGCACCCAATGTTGGTGAGTAGCCCTTGGTCCCAAGAGATGCCAAGTGACAGAACGTAGCCTCGATTGCCCAAACAGAACTGATTGACCATTCCATGCACGGACACGATCACGCGAACATGCATCACGATCACGAGCACATGGGCCTGGACGCGACCACGCTGAGTCCGCCGCTGGCGACGCCGCACGGGGATCTGGCCATGGGCATGCATGCTGGCCATCATCATGGCGGCGGCGGTGGCGGCGGCACAGGCACCGGCATGGAGCACATGATGTCGATGGCGGTAAGTGGCCAGCATGTGAAACTGTTTGGCCATTTGCTAATAATGCACCCCCCCCATCCCAGTTCCATTTTGGCTACAATGAGACAATCCTGTTCTCGTGGTGGCACATCGAGACGGTTGCCGGCCTGATCGGCTCCATGATAGCCATCTTTCTGCTGGCGCTGCTCTACGAGGGCCTCAAATACTATCGCGAGTATCTGTTCTGGAAGACGTACAATCTGCTCGAGTATCGGCCGGTGACGGGACCGCAACGCAATCCGGAGGCGCCGCGTCTGCCCACGCCCGCCGCCCATGCCGCACCATCGCCCGTGCAGTGAGTATTGCGGCTTTTAGTTTTTTATTGTTTCCTCTCAAGTTTCAGTTCGATGTTTGAGTGCCTGTGTGCCACTGTGCCTGTGTACCACTGTGCCGTTTGATTTATGCTCTGTATATATTAATTCTAATGCTTACTCTTATATCATATATATCTCTCTCTCTCTCTCTCTCTTATCTCTCCGTCTCTTTCTCTCGTTGCCGTTTACCGTTATTATATGCGTCTCTTGTGTGTATCATACGCTTTTCGCCTGCGCGCCCATCATCTGCGCCATGTAAATTATGCTCATCATCTTATGAAAATATCCACAACAATAATGTACAAAATCCAACAACGATATAAACTAATAACAATAACTATTAATTCTATTTAAATCAAATTATTAATGATTACTTGAAAAAACAACAACAACGAAACCAACGCAACCAACAAATCGACGCTTACAATTTAATAACGATAACGATAACAATTTGATATTGATTTCCCTTCCAACTGTATTCGTACACACGCACGCACGCACGCACACGGACGTACTCGAACTCGTACACGCAACCGTTAACCGTTACCGTTAATTGTGAACACGCCCCCAAAAACCGCATCGTACGTATGTATGTGTGCATATGCATGCGCCCAGATACGTTGGCGAAGTTGTGCACAAACAACCGTAAGTATCCCAAGCCACGCCCCCCCCCCCCCCTGAAAATGTAGTCATAAATGAAAACGTTTCCATTTACATATTTAACTATAATATCGGATTACCTTTATCGTCTATATAGTATATATATCGGTTGCACATCTAATTAACGATCTATCTTAAGTGTATCCGTTTTTTTTTTGTTTTCTTCATTTTTTTTTTATGGTCCGTTTAAAACAAACTCGCGTCTGATTAGCCGGATGAGAAATCGCAACTTGATACCCTTGATACGAGCACTTGATACCCAGATATCATCAGTCCAATTAACAATTAGTGACTAAGTCAATTTGCACTAATGCGTAACGCAATTCCAATTCGCACACTAATCTTGTAGCTAGATTGTGCACCTCAAAAGTAGTTGTAGCCTTTTAGACTAAATGGAACATGTAATCTTACATAATCGAACATAACCACACTTTTGGCTGCAGTTATATTGTTTTTGTGCAGCCCTGGGCTTGGCAATTTTCTTCTTCTAGATAGTTTGCTTGCTAGAAATACAGTAAAAAGTCTCTTGATAAACAATTTCTTGAAACTCGAAAAAAAAACGTACATTATCTTGAATTCTACATATTTTAATTTACTAATATTCGCAATATTCGTAAATCTTAGCCATATATCAAATGTATTTACTGTGTAGACAGCGTTCACTGTAAATAAAAGTATTTATGTATTCAATTTTTCGTAGAGCAGCTCGTTTACGTAGTTTTATTCCGCATTTATCGATAGGCAATTATCGATAACTTGCTCAAGTGTGAACTTGTTTCGATTAAAAGCAAATAAACTAGAACTCGTAGATTCCTCCAAACGTAAGTAGTTTTTGTTCGCATTTATCGATAGACAGTTATCGATAACTTTTGTAAGTGTTAACTCGTTTCGATTAAAAGCAAATAACCTAGAAACTAGTAGATCCTTCCAAGCTCCAAAAATTGTTGTACATTTTGTTTCTGTTAATTTATGTTTATGTTTCTGTTTTTGTTTATGTTACCCCAATAACACATACTTTTTTCTTGTCGTGGGGGCTAAAATCGGGCTGGCTTGATATCGAAACTGATCGAATGTTAAATGCGTTTATGTGCCACACAGACCGACAATGCTGTCCATCAATCATCTGTACCAGACGCTGCTGCACGTGCTCCAGGTGACGCTCTCCTTCCTGCTAATGCTGATCTTCATGACATACAATGTGTGGCTCTGCATGATGGTGGTGCTGGGCGCCGGCGTTGGATACTTTCTCTTCTGCTGGAAGAAATCGGTAATTGTCGATGTCACCGAGCACTGTCACTAGCAGCCGCCCATCTGCCCAACCGGGGAGGCGATCCACTCCCACTCTAGCCGGCTGTGTCTCACCCACGACGGAATGTCGCCATGATCAGCCGGCGCCCGCCCGACCCTGCAGTCGCAATTCCTGCTGCAAGCTGAATGCCCCATTTTCTCGAAATGCCCAACCCCCAAACCCTCCCCCCCCACACACACACACACACAAACACACCCACACACTCACACATTTTTAGGTATTAACATATATGTTTATCCGTGCAACGCGCATTTGCCAGCACTCAAATTTTTATAACTGTGAAATTTTTTCAAGAAATCTAAGCGACAAGAAAATACTGCATACAAACAACAACAACAACAAACCAGTTGCTACGGGCACACTTTTTTTTTTGCACACAACAAACGAAACTTTGAGGTTAAGTGAAAAGTGCAGCGAACAAAAGACGAGCAAATTCTTAAAAATTGCCCAGCAAAATAATAATTGTAAAAATTGTAAAAAGCAAACAAAACAAACAAAAAATGAGTAAACTGTTAGTTAGCCAAAATTTATCTCAATTGCTCAATTGCCGATTGGAGCGTCCGGGTTTGAACCACTTTTTTTTTTCTTTTGTTTGGTTTCACTCTACATTTGTTTTCTTGAAATATTTATCTATATATTATGCCCATAATTATACCTATACCTATGCTTATATTTTACACAAAAATCTGTTAAAAAATTCATTTTTTTTTTTTTACATAAATATATATTATTATTATGTATTTTATTTGCTTAAAAGTCAAACAAAATGTTTCGTATTTGCCGCCCCCCTCAAACATTATGAATTTATTGATGGCTCTGGCGACCTTTCCATATTTCAATATTTATTTGTTGGCTGGCTCGAGGTCCGTGTTTGTTAAAACAAACAATGAAAAACAATTTTATTCAATTCTCTTCCGATATATTTCGGTTGCACATCGGCAAACCGTCTTCAGGGCACTAACACCAAGATACAAAAAACAATTAACAATTATAATACAATAAATTAAACATTATTTCGAACATTTTACATACATTATTTTACACGTCTGCGCTTTTTGACGTGGAGATTGTTACTGAGGTTGTTTGACTGTTTAAGAGGTGTCTGTACAAGTGAGCGCAATTTTCTGTGTCTGTCTTGTAGTTTAGTCGTTTGTAGGTTGGTGTGTTAATTATGTGTAGCATTTCCAATGTGTGTCGCTTGTTATAGTGTTGTTCTTGTTGTAAGATTGTTGTTTCATCAAAATTTGGTGTGTGGTTGCTTCTTATACAATGGGTCATAAGTGCTGTTTTCTGTATATTATTTTGATGTCTTAGTTTGAAGTCCGATTTATGTTGACTAATCCTTGTTTTTAGCTTCGATTTTGTTGTACCTATGTAGACACTATTGCACTTGTTGTTGTTATCCCCGCCACATGGTATTTGGTAAACGACGTTGCTTTTTTCGATCATCGGGATTTTCGACTTTATCTTGTTGAAGAATTTTTGTAATGTATTCGTCGGTTTGTGTGCTACTTTTATATCTTGTTTGTTATAACAGTCTGAGTTTGTGAGGCGTTCTGATAGTCGTGGTACATATATTAGTGATTTGTATATTTTAGCAGGTTCTGTTGGCTTTTTTCTTTCGATTTGTCGTCTTTTTAATAATGTTTTGATTATATTTGGGGGGAAGTCATTTTTGGTCAAAAGTTCTTTGATTTCATGTTCAATTTCTTTGTGGTATATTGTGTCCGATATTTTCATCATTCTATTCATACAGCCTAGTGCTGTATTGATTATCATACTCTTTGGGTGGTTTGAATTGAAGTTGAGTATTCGTCCGGAGGCTATGGGTTTCCTATACCACTTTATTTTGAGTGTGTTGTCCATTCTGCTTACAATAGAGTCTAAAAATGGTAATTTCCCGTCCTTTTCTAATTCCATTGTAAATTTTATCTGTTTGTGGAAGGAATTCAATTCTTTTAGAATATTTTCCACGTCTATTTTGTTCGTTATGGCAAAAAGGTCATCTACATATTTGGTCAAGAGTCTTGGTTTTATTTTTAATTTATCTGTAATCTTGTCCAACAGTTCCTCCATTAATATATCTGCGATTACTGGGGAAGCCGGTGATCCCATTGGCATTCCCTTAAGTTGTGTGTATATTTTGTCTTCGTATTTGAAATATCTGTTTTCCTGTATGCAAAATCTAACTATGTCCATAAATAGTTGTTTCGGTATATTCGTGTGCTCTTCTAATTTGGTCCATTTTTGTCTTATTGTGTCAAGTGCTAATTCTATTGGTATGCTGGGAAATAAGGATACTACGTCAAAAGATACTAATGTTTCCTCTTCTCTAATCTGGGAGTTGTTGACTCTGTCTTTAAAATCTACCGCGTTCTTGATGTTGTACCTAGAGTCCATTGTCAGATTTTTTAATATTTGTATTATATATTTGCACAGCCCGTAAGATGGAGATCCTATGGAAGAACATATTGGTCTCAGTGGAGTTCCTTCCTTGTGTATTTTTGGTAGTCCATATATCCTCGGAGGTACCGCTGTTGTTGTAGTCATCTTATTTCTTTCGTCCTTTGAAATAAGACCCATCTTGAATAATTGTGCTACGAAGGTGTTATTCTTTGTCTGTAGTCTTGATGTCGGATCCAGTCTCAATGTTCTATACGCGCATAAGTCGTCTAAAATATTTGTCATTTTATTTTTATATTCATCCTCATCCATTGCTACGGTTTTGTTGCCCTTATCCGACGATAGAATTTTAATATTTATATTTTCTTTCAGTAATTTTCGTGTCTGTTCCACTGTGTCCAGTATTGCTCGATCCCTACTGTTTTGGTTGTTCTTGGTTTTATGCTCTTTGACTAACAAAGAGAATTTTGTGCGCGCCGACTCTTGTGTTTCCTTTTCTTTTATTGTTTGCACTAGCTCCTCACCGTCTGCGATGTATTTCAAGAGAGGAAAATCTCTCTTGCTGATTGGGAGAGCGAACTTCGGCCCTTTTGCGAGTAACGCTACGACGTTTGGCGGGAATTCTATTTTTGTTTTGTTTACAAACCACTCTCTTTGCGTGTTGTTATCCGCTAAGGCTAGGTTCCGTTGATCTCGTAACTTATCGTGTTTCGTTTCTTGTCTTTTCTTGAGTGTTGTTGTTATTTTGTTTTCTATATTTCTCTCGCTCTCAAAAAACGCTTTTGCGTCATCTGTGGTCATCAGTTGTTCTATGTTTGTTTTTGCTTTTTCCATATGTTTTGTTTGTTCTTGTAATAGGTTGTGTTTGTGTTTTATAAGTAAGTTTAATATTTTGGTATGGTAAAAATGTGTGTGTCTAGTCAATGTTCTTGTTATGTCAGGGTGGGTTTTATTGTCAGTGGTCAGTATGGTCAAATGCTGTGTCAAGTTTTTGATGAAGTTAGGTATTAAATTTGATTTTCTACATTTTAACAAAAATTTTAAACTAGATTTAAGTTTAGTTAATTTTACCAGTGTTAGTTGGAATTTATTAATTGTTCTTTTCGAATCCTTGTATTTAGTTTTTATTTTTGCGTAGCTCATGTTGGTTGCTGTGCATACGGCGTGCCTTCCGTTGATATTTATTGATGGCTCTGGCGACCTTTCCATATTTCAATATTTATTTGTTGGCTGGCTCGAGGTCCGTGTTTGTTAAAACAAACAATGAAAAACAATTTTATTCAATTCTCTTCCGATATATTTCGGTTGCACATCGGCAAACCGTCTTCAGGGCACTAACACCAAGATACAAAAAACAATTAACAATTATAATACAATAAATTAAACATTATTTCGAACATTTTACATACATTATTTTACACGTCTGCGCTTTTTGACGTGGAGATTGTTACTGAGGTTGTTTGACTGTTTAAGAGGTGTCTGTACAAGTGAGCGCAATTTTCTGTGTCTGTCTTGTAGTTTAGTCGTTTGTAGGTTGGTGTGTTAATTATGTGTAGCATTTCCAATGTGTGTCGCTTGTTATAGTGTTGTTCTTGTTGTAAGATTGTTGTTTCATCAAAATTTGGTGTGTGGTTGCTTCTTATACAATGGGTCATAAGTGCTGTTTTCTGTATATTATTTTGATGTCTTAGTTTGAAGTCCGATTTATGTTGACTAATCCTTGTTTTTAGCTTCGATTTTGTTGTACCTATGTAGACACTATTGCACTTGTTGTTGTTATCCCCGCCACATGGTATTTGGTAAACGACGTTGCTTTTTTCGATCATCGGGATTTTCGACTTTATCTTGTTGAAGAATTTTTGTAATGTATTCGTCGGTTTGTGTGCTACTTTTATATCTTGTTTGTTATAACAGTCTGAGTTTGTGAGGCGTTCTGATAGTCGTGGTACATATATTAGTGATTTGTATATTTTAGCAGGTTCTGTTGGCTTTTTTCTTTCGATTTGTCGTCTTTTTAATAATGTTTTGATTATATTTGGGGGGAAGTCATTTTTGGTCAAAAGTTCTTTGATTTCATGTTCAATTTCTTTGTGGTATATTGTGTCCGATATTTTCATCATTCTATTCATACAGCCTAGTGCTGTATTGATTATCATACTCTTTGGGTGGTTTGAATTGAAGTTGAGTATTCGTCCGGAGGCTATGGGTTTCCTATACCACTTTATTTTGAGTGTGTTGTCCATTCTGCTTACAATAGAGTCTAAAAATGGTAATTTCCCGTCCTTTTCTAATTCCATTGTAAATTTTATCTGTTTGTGGAAGGAATTCAATTCTTTTAGACAAATATTTTAGACGACTTATGCGCGTATAGAACATTGAGACTGGATCCGACATCAAGACTACAGACAAAGAATAACACCTTCGTAGCACAATTATTCAAGATGGGTCTTATTTCAAAGGACGAAAGAAATAAGATGACTACAACAACAGCGGTACCTCCGAGGATATATGGACTACCAAAAATACACAAGGAAGGAACTCCACTGAGACCAATATGTTCTTCCATAGGATCTCCATCTTACGGGCTGTGCAAATATATAATACAAATATTAAAAAATCTGACAATGGACTCTAGGTACAACATCAAGAACGCGGTAGATTTTAAAGACAGAGTCAACAACTCCCAGATTAGAGAAGAGGAAACATTAGTATCTTTTGACGTAGTATCCTTATTTCCCAGCATACCAATAGAATTAGCACTTGACACAATAAGACAAAAATGGACCAAATTAGAAGAGCACACGAATATACCGAAACAACTATTTATGGACATAGTTAGATTTTGCATACAGGAAAACAGATATTTCAAATACGAAGACAAAATATACACACAACTTAAGGGAATGCCAATGGGATCACCGGCTTCCCCAGTAATCGCAGATATATTAATGGAGGAACTGTTGGACAAGATTACAGATAAATTAAAAATAAAACCAAGACTCTTGACCAAATATGTAGATGACCTTTTTGCCATAACGAACAAAATAGACGTGGAAAATATTCTAAAAGAATTGAATTCCTTCCACAAACAGATAAAATTTACAATGGAATTAGAAAAGGACGGGAAATTACCATTTTTAGACTCTATTGTAAGCAGAATGGACAACACACTCAAAATAAAGTGGTATAGGAAACCCATAGCCTCCGGACGAATACTCAACTTCAATTCAAACCACCCAAAGAGTATGATAATCAATACAGCACTAGGCTGTATGAATAGAA